GGTTTCCTGATTCAGTCCATTCACAACCCAACCTAGGACTGTCTTAACAGCAAAGGGTCCTCTATTTTGACTGTTTATTATTTTCCACGGCTCCATTTACACTGATAAAAGTAAAACATAGTGGTTGTTCGTTTGATGTGTTTATTCTCACTCAAATAATTTTAAATTATTAGTTTCATTATTTAAACTAATATTCCTGATTTATATTTATGGTTGAACCTATTGTTTTATATTGATAGAATATAAACTGACAGAAGGACATTGAAACTGAAACCATTCATTTGTTCAATGTAGTTTTATTAAATCAAGCTTAATTTATGCATGCGCATTGCATTGATGACACCGCACACAGAATGTTCTGGCAGTACACACGCTGTCTTTCGCAGTTCGGTGGAGCTAACCAGCAGACTTCATCCAGACACTTGGAAAACGAGCACATGTGATACTGGTAAGGATAAAATAATATTAATATATATATATAATATAATTTCACATACCGAAACATTAACGTTTGTCTGAGTATATCTTCCGTTGACTCTGACCGGCTGTTGATAGCCCTTATAAGCTAACGCTAGCATGCTTTATTCAGAGATTAGCTTTAGCCCGCTTGGAGTTATGGGTGGCTAACGTTACTACAGTCCGGTAGCTCAGTTAAGAAAAGGTAACGTTATTTATGGGAAACGTTAGCCTACGTGTGTCTGGCCGTGACTCTGACTGAGTAGGCTGTAAAAGCTTGCGCTAACGTTTAGCATGCGCTAACGTTTAGCATGCTTTATTCAGACCACACATTATCCAGTGAAGAACACTCAGCAGAGCATATACTTCTCAACACGACATTAACTGTAACGTTAAATGTTCTTAACTGAGCTAGCGGACTGTACCCATGACTCCAATTCGACTAAAGGCTAAAGTCAATTTTTGAATAAAGCATGCTAGCGTTAGCGTTAGCGTTAGCGTTAGCAGCGCTCGGCATGAGTCATGGCCAGATTCAAAGGCAGATATACTCACACAAACATTAAGTATCAACTTTAACTTTTCTTAACTGAGGCTTGGTGGCCTGTAAACAGTATGAACAGGCGGGCTTCATGTTTTCTATTTTAAATAAATAGATAAGACTATGAATTTGTATTTATTACCAGAGTAGAAATTCTGGTGTTAAACTTCAATTTAAGGACAGAGTAAGTGGGCTTCTTTCATATTGACGAGCGACTTATATTTGAATTTTCGAGTTCAATTGATAAAGATATTGTAAATGTAACGTTAGTTTACAACATTGTGTTATATATTTTTACATCACCAAAATGTTGACCACTGTCCTAAAATAAAGTATAGGCTTTGAGTAACGAATTTAAGTTTAATGTTTGATATATTTTTAATATGTCAATGATCTTCTTGTAGCTTAGACACTTTGATGGCTAATTAAAGACTAATGAAAGGTTTTCTCACTTCAGGGAAGCAGCCGTCTATTCCTACTGTTCTACCCATGTGGATGTTCCTGTGAATGGTCATTGCTTGTGGTAAGTTAATAAAAAAAAAAAAAAGAAAAATGTCATGAGGGTATTCGCTATAATCAGGCCACCCTTCAAATTGGGCTCTGGCAAACATGTTCAATCGATTTTGACACATCAAGCAGAGCAATTTTCTACCAAATCACTTACAAAAAGTTACAGCGTTGTCTACTCGGTACACTAAAGGTATCTCTTGTATCTCCTGTTTCCTCAGTTATCCATGCATGTGGAAATGTAAAGACTGTGACAATTCATTTTCAAGAAGATCGGAACTTTTGAAACACTACAAGCTTGATCATCAGCATTATGGGCGGGGTCGTGCCTACCCCTGTATTCATGAGAATTGCCCATGCACATGCAAGACATGGAAAGCTCTACTCACTCATCTAAGCAAATTCCATTCTGCTCAACAATCTTCACAGAACAATAGATTTTCAACACTCAAGTGCCATGTTTGCGACAACAATCTGCATTCTACTGAGCCAGACTATTTTCAACATATCAGGCAGCATTTGAAAAATCATGAATTTGTAAATTGTATGTTTTCTGGTTGCTCATACAAAACAAATCATTACGGAGCTTTCAATACTCACAAATGGAGGAAGCATACCCCACATTACACTTAATGATTTCAAGCCTGGAATTGTTGATGGGTATGATGTTGTAGAATCATTTGAAACGGGTACTACTGATCAGTTGAATTTGCCATCTGAAGAACTTCCTGATGAAGAATCAACAGTTTCGACAGATATTGAATTAAAACTTGCCTCAGTCCTACTTAAATTAGAAAATTATTTTCTTGTATCAAGTGCAGCTGTGAATGAGCTTCTAGAAGAGCTGCAATATTTAATTGGTACTGCCTCTCTGCCAGTTACCCAAAAGACTATAATCCACTTCTTACAAGATCGCAATTGCCAAGTTGATGAATCAGTTGTGAAAGAGTTGGCCACTGAACTTTGCACTTTGAATCCCATTCAAGCTGCAATAGGAAACCGTGGTCCACTGTCAACCACTTGGAAACGGAAGAAATATTATAGAAAACACTTTAATGTTGTTGAACCAGTGGAGTATGTGTTAGACCGAAAGAATAGAAGGTTTTTTTCAGTATGTGCCTATACTAAAATCTTTGCAGCAACTTTTAAACTGTGAAACTATACTTAATAAGGCTGTAAATTTGAAGGAAAAATATCAGCAAAGGGAGAGAGATAAGCAGGTATACAGATCTTTTTGGGATGGTCTTCTCTTTAAAAGACATTCTATTCTCTCAAAAGAGTGTTCGATTTCTTTGATTTTGTATGTTGATGATTTTGAAATATGCAATCCACTTGGAACATCCCGTAGAAGACACAAAATCTGTGCCTTATATTGGATTGTTATTCTTCCTTGTCCTCTATTCATTTGGCTGCATTGATTAATACCAATGATGTGAAAGTCTATGGTTATGAAAAAGTGTTAGAACCTTTGTTAAGGGATCTCATAACATTAGAACAACAGGGTGTTTTTGTGGAAAAGTTGGGCAAACATTTAAAGGGCACAGTGCAGTGTGTTGTTGCTGACAACCTTGGAGCACACGGTATTGCTGGTTTTGTTGAGAGTTTTTCCAGCAGATTTAGTTGCAGGTTTTGTACAGCCGATAAATTAGATTTCCAGGCCAGGGAAGCTGGATGCTTTTCTCGGAGAACTGAGGAGAATCACAAAAATCATCTGCAAACCATTGAGGAAAATTCTTTGGCCAATTGTTATGGTGTTAAGAGAAGCTGTGTTCTTTCAGAAAAACTTTCCCATTTCAATGTTACCACTGGTTTTCCTCCAGACATTGTCCATGATTTATTCGAGGGAATAATCCCTGTTGAAATAGCTCTCTGTCTGACTGTATTCATTTCCAAGAAATATTTTACTTTGGCCACTTTGAACAAGGCGATAGAAGATTTTCCCTATAAATGGACTGATCGAACCAATCACCCCCACCCTGTTCCACTAGCCTATGCATCCAATAAAACAATTGGTGGAAATGCACACGAAAACTGGAGTTTACTACGATTTTTTACACTTTTGCTTGGACAGAAAGTGCCCATCAATGAACCAGCCTGGCAACTTCTTGGTGATTTAAAAGACATTGTGGACCTGGTTGTCTCTCCAGTTCATACTCCTGAGTCAATTGGATATTTGAGCTTCAAGATCTCTGAGCACAGAGTGAGATTTAAGGAGGTTTTCCCAGACTCAAACTTTCGACCTAAACACCATTACTTGGAGCATTATCCGCAGTTAATCTGTGAGTTCGGGCCATTGGTTGCGCTATGGACCATGCGTTTTGAAGCAAAGCACAGCTATTTCAAAAGAGTTGTGCGGCATTCCACCTGCTTCAGAAATGTGCTACTGTCATTAGCTGAACGACATCAGTTTCTCATGGCACATCACCTTTACCTGTCCAGCTTGCCTGAATCCCCCCTGGAGGTAGCAAGTGTTTCAACTCTTCCCATTGACCTTTTGAAAGAGGACATTGCATTTGCTATTAAGCAGAGGCACCCAGACTTAGATGCTGTGTGCTTGGTCAAAAATGCATCTTACAGTCGCATAAATTACAGGATTGGGATGATCCTGGCACATGGCTCTTTGGCAGGGCTGCCGGAATTCACGGAAACAATCCAGATGATTGTTATCAAGAATAAGCTGCTTTTCATCGTCAGAAAGCTGAGTGCATGGTATAGGGAACATTACAGAGCCTATGAACTGAAACCGTGTCCTACAAAGAAGGTGGAACTTCTTGACTCAAATGAACTGACTGATCCATACCCATTGGCTGACTATACAGTTGGGGGAATGCGGCTGATGACTCTTAAAAGATACATTCATGTATAAGGTCAGAATGAGTATATATATATATATATATGAACTTTGTATGTAATACTTTGTAAAGTATAACACAATGCAATTTGAAAAGAAAAAATTCATTGAGTGTACACCTGCATTTCATTAATTCCCTCTATTTCTCTCTTTCTCTTAGAGCGCCATGGCTGATATTGAACCACCTGTTCGATTGCTGATCATCTTAAACGACGACAACAGCGTAAGACTGGAGCTTCGAAATGGGATTCCCAACTCAATAGAAGAGCTCATTGAGGAGGTCAAGAATTCATGTGGATTAGAAGGTTACATAAGACTACAGTACAAAGACACTGATTTTGGGAACACATTTGTTAATCTTACATCGACACATGCGATAAAAGATTTAACAGTGATCAAAGTTGTCGAATTAGACCCCGATTCTACAACTGTGGTCTTGTACCCAGTTGAGATACCATTAAATAGTACCCCTACAAGTGGACTGTACAGTGAAGACTCCTCTGGATCTGTGAATACAGATGACACAGTACTACTTAGCAGCTCTTCCTCGGAATCATTAAGAACACAGCAGTGGCCTAAAGTGTTTCCAATCCCGGTCTTCTCCTATGACACAGAATGTCAATTACAGAGAGGAAAATGCAGAGTACACAAAGAACCAATCTAGACTGACACTAAGCTCAAAAATGCTTTCAGACATACTCGAGAAACTGGCTGATAAAGCATAAAGCATACCCTACAGATGCTGACTTTAGCGATGTTGCTGAGGCATTGACAAGCAAGCATCCCTGCCTAAAGGAACCAGGGTCTTTCAATGAGAGCTATGGATGGAAACAAAGGATGAAGGTAAAAATGACCAACTACCGGACTCTACTCAGAGCACACGGAACATCTGCAGAGCTCGCTGTGAACTCGTTGAAGACCAAGTCTCAAGAAGAGTCCTACCCTGCGAAGAATTTAAAGAGAGCCAGGCGAGCTGAGGCCAACCATTTTCCATCCTTGCCGATTGGTGAGACTCCAGAAAGCATGGAGCAAGAGAGAATTTCCCTTTTGGCAGAACAACAGAAAAGAAACAACCGGCAATCAATAAAAGAAAAGATGGCGAAGACGTTTGGATACCGAAGACAAGAAATAGTGCATCAGAGGCCAAGCATTGAAGGCCTCTTGGAGCGGTGGCCTGCACTTTTTCACATGGAAGAGGTAATTATTTTTGATGAAACCCTTGATTGTAAGCTTGTAGTGGAGAAGAAATGAGGGCCCAACTAACTAACAACTATAGACAGCCTAGGCAAATATGTTGACGTTTTTATTTTTAATATATATCACAATATAAGCTTTACATCTATGACTCTTTGTGTCTTTATTTGGTGGTGGTTTTCAATAAATATGTGGATTAATTAATTTAAATGTTACATTCATACAAGCTGACTTGGAGTACTTTTAATCAAAACGTTGGCTCTTTATAAAAAATATGTGTATTATAAATTCTCAGTGTTTTTTGTTTTCTATGCTGCTTATATTTTCTAGGTAAATGCTGAGTTCATGCGCATAACAACATTTCCGTTGGAGACAAAGTTCTTGGCGCAGTTGGACAAACACTCCACTAAACTGCTGCAGGTCATCAGGAGCAGGGGAGGAGTTGTGAAACAGAAGACCACCGGGATCTTGCAGGTTTTAGATGAGGTATCTATGAATGAGTTTTTTATCTGTGGGATCAGTGGCTGAATAGTCATTTTTTTTGCATTTGATTTAAAATGTATATATATAACTGTTCTTACTCAGACTGTGGACATCACCATCAGAAGAGAATGCATCCTCAAATCTCTAATGATCTACCTGGGTGAACCTGTTCACCATCTCATCAAAGAATTCCAGGTAAGACCTCCCACTCACTCACAAGATGTTTGTTCATAAAAGAAAAATAACATATTTGTACTGCATGCAAATAACTGCTTGGTTAGAAAGCTAGTAATTTTTGATGACCTCCTGAGCTTTCCTCTTGGGCCACCATCCGACTGAACTGAGAACTTTCCTTTTTTCATCTATCCAGTATAATCTTGTTTTTTTAAAAGGTAGCTGCAAATTTGGAGAAACGTTTGCGCTTCAGGCCTGTTGAACTACACTCTGTGGTCCTCATCCATTTCCCTTTTTTTTTGCATGATATGCAGGAAGCTGAGGCTGGAGAACTGGAGCAGGCAACAATGGCAATCTTTGTCATTGGGAAAGAGGATCAGTTTCATCGACCCAAAGACGTCAAGGTTCTCATCGAAGGAACAGAGGTCCTCAGCGGCTTGCCCTCGGTTGCGACAGCTTTTGCCATGCTCTTCGGGCTCATATACGCACTGAACTTAAGATATCCTAAAGAACTGCAATCCACTTTTGAAGTTGTGCAAAAAGTCCTGATGGAGCTTGAGGGAAAAAAGATGAGCCCAAAAGTGAATAGACTGAGAACCCAGCTGTTCATCCCAGAGTAGACACTTTGTTGCACTCACTCACTTGCAGTTACCATTGTTCTTGCATGGTAAGGTTTGTAAAACCAAGGTTTTATAATAATTATGCATTGTAAATAATGTGCAAAAAAGTTTTGTATTCAGAAGTTGCACTTACAGTATGACCGATTTTCACTGTAGAAGTTATGCATGTCTGCTCATTTTCAGAGATTACATGTCTCACAGGCGCAAGTTGTCAGTGTTGCTTTAAAAAAGTGTGCAGTTGATTATCAGGACAAGTCCTTTTTCTAAGAGTTTGATGTTTGGAAGCGGCACATATTACTGCATTTTAACTGTGGTACTTATTAACATGTCTGCTTAAGATCAGGTAATGGCTGCTTTAGAGGCCAAAGCTGGTTGTGTGTGGCACTACCTGATCTGCATCCCTGCCCGATCTGCATTGCGCATGTGCGAGATGGTCCGCCATATTGGACAACTCCGTACGGCAACCCAACTAGGACACTTGACACAGTGGCTTTTGGCAAAGCAGAAAAAGAAAACTCAAAGAACCGAGAGAGATGAGTTATTGTTATTACAACGTGACTTCACTATTATTTAACAACTCTTTTTATTGGGTTCTTTTATTTGGGGTTAAGTACATTGTCTAACAGAAGTTAAATTCATTTTTCACTTATTCTGACAATGTACTTAACCCCAAATAAAAGAACCCAGTGAAGTCACGTTGTAATAACAATAACTCATCTCTCTCGGTTTTTTGAGTTTTCTTTTTGTGCTTTGCCAAATGCCACTGTGTCAAGTGTCCTATTTGGGTTGCCGTACGGAGTTGTCCAATATGGCGGACCATCTCGCACATGCGCAATGCAGATCGGGCAGGGATGCAGATCGGGTAGTGACAGTGTGAACAACTTGTTTTACATTCAAATAAATGTGCTCTAAAATAATTTGTTATTTGTCATTAAATGCAATATAATCATAACATTTTTAAATTATAATTGCTATACATTTCAGATACTGACAACTTACATTTTATATTTGAGACGATGTAAAATAATTGGTTTGATTTAGTTAAGAAATGGTTTTGAATTTAGTTTAATTATTTCAGGTTCAACTGGATGTTTTTTTTACATTCAGTCCGTAACAACACACTTTTTTCATTTAGGACAACGTAAAATAATTGGTTTACTTCACTATCAGATAATAGTTTGCCTGGAGTTAAAATATACAGATTGATCTGATGAAATGGACTTTCATTGAGTCAATGTAAAATATTTCGTGTGATCGATTACTCTAATTTTTTTTAGTTGATCCAACGTTTTACTTTTATCAGTGTAGCTTTGGTGCATTTGTTCCTATAAGCAACCCGATTTCACAATCCAATTCAGGCAACTTAATTTCTCTTAGATATTTCCATTTATTTATGGTTTCTTGAGTGGGAATGTGCTCTTTTCCAGCAGGAATTTCCTCTTTTGTGTATACTTTAGGCAGCTGATAAAAATCATTGCCTTCGATGCAACTCACTTCAAGACCTTTGACAAAGGAAGTGTCAATCATTTTCTCCTGACCCATTGTTTTTAAGACGATTTTTGTTCTCTTGCCCTTGGCATGCACATCTTGTTGAAGGGCTTGAGTACAACAACTTGCAGTGCTTCCCTGATCCATAAATGCGTAAGTCTGCACAGTCTGGTTCGAGTTTGACAACTTTATTTGAACTGGGATAATTGGTAGGGTTTGTTGACCACCGGCCCCAGTGTGGTTTCTGCCATTTAAAGAGACTAATGCACTACTTACAGAAGCTGCATGGGTGTAATTATCAGAGTTGTCTTTTTGTTCAATCTTTTTCTTGTAGATGTGCAATATTGTTGGATGTTTCATTGAACAAACTTCACATTTCATTATTTTCTGACAGTCTTTGCTTAGATGTCCTTTCGTTAGACAGCCAAAGCAAATTTAATGACAAAAGATGGCGCCTGTGTCGGCTCGCCGCTCCCTCAGCTCTCTACCTTTAGCTATCCTGTTTTTGTTTTATGTTTGTCAGAATGTCAGAATGTCTCTGCTCTGCTCGTTTACGATCGCCAAGCTCTCCTCCACCTCAGACCCTCACTGGAGTTGATATTGCTGCCCAAACCTACATCTGGCAACCATAAATCGTCCCCCCCCCCCTCTACTGTAGAATATTCCCACCTACCTGCGCCGGTTGCCCTGCATCCTGCCTCGCCGAAAGCGCTTTAGACGACGGGGAAAGCGTGGTGGTGCACTGGTCCATCTTAAGGCATACCTGACGGCCTCTCCTGGGACTTATCCACGCCTCGGATGTCATGGCCCTCCCGCTGCACGCCATGTGAGGGATCGGTGGATTCGCCCTGTTTTTCCGGAGCTGCGGCCTCTGCTGGGCCCGCTGGCAGCTCCTCCTGCCCGACTGACTGCTCCCGGCCCACGCGGCGTTCAACACGCACATCTTCGTCAGCTGAGACGCACTACACCTTCGGCAAGCCCGGAGCGAAAACTTTGCATGGCTTTGCTAAATGCTAGGTCAATAGCAAACAAAACGTTCCTGCTAAACAACTTCTTCACCTCTCGTGAACTGGATTTTATGTTCCTGACGGAGACCTGGGTCCATGCTGGCGAGTATACACCGTTCTCTGAACTTCTTCCTCCTGAATGTACATTCTTCAGCTCCCCCCGTGCCACCGGCCATGGTGGGGGCATAGCATCAGTGTTTAGAGCTAGCCTCCAATGCCGATTGCTTCACCCTGTAACTAGCTATGCTAGCTTTGAGTTGCAGCTTTTTGAACTGAACCCGGCCTCGCCTATACTCTGCGCAGTCGTGTATCGTCCGCCAAAGTGCAATAAGGATTTCATAAGTGACTTTTCTGACTTTCTGTCCAGGATCATGGTGAAATATGATCGTGTTTTGATCTCCGGAGACTTCAATGTCCATGTGTGTTGCGAGTCCAAACCTCTGGTTAGGAACTTTTTAAATCTCCTTGATTCTTTTGGTCTCGTTTAGTCCGTGGCTGGCCCAACACACGAAAAAGGACACACTTTGGACTTAGTATTATCGTTTGGACTGTCTGTATCTGTGGATGAAATCTGTGCAGCAACGCGTATCTCAGACCATTTACCGGTTCTGTTTACAACCTCCATCCCTTCCGCAGGAGTCGAATCACGTGCCCCTGCGCGTCGTCTGCGTTCGATTAACCCCTTGACTGCCTCACAGTTCTCTGATGTTTTTAATGCTTCTCCGTTCTGTAAATTAGATGTGAACTGTGCTTTTAATGCTGATGAGCTTATCTCCATGTTTGACTCGACATGCACACTAATACTGGATTCTGTTGCTCCTTTTACGCTTGGACGCACCAAAGTTCTATCAGAGCCGTGGCTCAATGACTGTACTCGTGCTCTCAGACGCGCTTGCAGACGTGCAGAGAGAAAATGGAAAAAGGATAAACTCCATGTCTCCCTAGAAATCCTTCGTGCTTGCCTTTCTGACTGCCAGACGGCAGTCAAAGCAGCCAAAACAGAGCACATTTCTCTGTTAATCTCCAAAAACAGCCATAAACCTCAGGTTCTTTTTAATGTCCTCAACTCTATCATTAATCCCTGTGATGTTTCTTCTATTGTCCCATCGACTACTCTCTGTGATAAGTTTCTTAAAAAAATGTTATTGAAAAAGTATCTGCTCTTAGGTTAGCCCACACTAGTGCTACCCCAGATCCTGCTCCTTTTCTGTGCCCTGCTGTCCTCGACCACTTTGAGCCTGTATCCCTCTCTTCTCTCTCGGATGTAGTCAAGCACCTGCGGCCGACAAACTGCACCTCAGACAGCATTCCCTCTCGCCTTCTCAGAGATGTTTTTGATTCAGTTGGAGCAAGTATTTTATTACTTTTAAACACCTCTCTTAGCTCAGGATGTGTCCCAGCTGCCTTCAAACATGCCGTGGTTAAGCCACTACTTAAAAAGAAAAATCTCGACCCCTCCATTCTCGCAAATTTTAGGCCCATCTCCCAGCTACCTTTTTTTATCAAAAGCCCTGGAGCGAGTAGTCTACGCCCAGCTGCAGTCTTTTTTAACCATGCATGGAATCCATGAAAAGTTTCAGTCTGGCTTCAAACCCATGCACAGCACTGAAACAGCCCTTTTAAGAGTTTTGAATGATCTGCTCCTAGCCGCCGACTCAGGTAGCTCCGCTGTCTTGGTGCTGTTAGACCTGACAGCTGCCTTTGACACTGTGGACCATAGCATCCTGTTGTCACGGCTTGAACAGTCCGCTGGCATCACAGGCTCTGCCCTTGCATGGTTCAGGTCCTACCTGACAGACCGTAGCTTCTCGGTACAGCTAGGTGCCTTCTCCTCTGCCAAAGCCCCTCTTACCTGTGGGGTTCCCCAAGGCTCGATTCTGGGCCCCATCCTTTTTCTACTGTACATACTGCCCCTAGGTTCAATTCTCACAAAACATAATCTTCCCTTCCACTGCTACGCCGACGATGTACAGATATATCTGCCTCTCAAAGCAAATGTCAAACACTCACTACAGCAGTTGATGGACTGCTTAACCTGTTAAGCACCAAGCCTGTTTTTCATGTTTCAGGCTCAAAAATGACATGCCCAAAACAAATGACTACAACTTAACTTCTAAAAGGGTTATATGAATAATTTATTTTATCAAAGCAAGGCTACATATGTGAGTTGGATGTAGAAGTGTCAGAATCAATACAAATGTTTTTTATTTTAAAGAAAATTCAGATTTTACATAGTAAAAAACTGTAAATTATAGTGTCCGTCCAAAAATTATTTTTTACAGATAGTGAAAACTACCCTTGGATGATGGGTTAGTAGACTAAAAGCTTTAGGAATCCAAAGTACAACATATAATAAGTACCCTGTATCAAGATTGATGCAAAACAAGTGACATTTGACCTTTTTTAGAGAGGTTTAGCCAAAACCACCCCACCTCTGAGGTGATTTGGGTGAAAATGGTTTTTTTCTCCATATCTCTGGCCCCCCTTGCTCGATTTTGATGGTTGACACCTCTTTCTGACCGGTAGAGCCAATAGAATTGAAGGGGGAGGCTCCCTGACACAGACGTTGTGAAGAGAAAAGGTGGGGGCTGCGCACATGTAAATGTGAAGCAGAGTGGAGCTATCTCTCCCTCTGGAATTTGGAAACTAAAAAGCAGTTTTATTGCTTATGGATTATCAGAAATAATTTCAAAGAGGGCACAGATACATTGGATGAACCTATGGATTAACTGCAGCATCGTTTTTTTATCGTTTTAATGCCATTGAAGACCAGTTTTGACCAAGGTAAGCCATGTTAGCGTTTCTAGCTACTTAGCTCCACATGTTATGATGTACGCTTTCGTTTATAGCGTCGCAAATGTTTATCACTGAGTGTTGAGGTTTTTTACACAGATTCAGTGTCTCCAGGACACCAAAAACGAGT